TATAAATAGAGGCTAGTTAACATTCATTTTTCAAGCAGTCTCATCTTATTTGCTTGAAAACAATAGCTAGTTTTCAAAAGCAAAGACCTGCCCATGTATTTGAAGTCTACCAAAAAAGGTTTACCAACAATAAAAAAGTCAAACTTCTAATATTGAACTGACATATATTTGCAATACTACAAATAACCATCTTCACTCTAAAATGCACACTAATCAAGTTATGACTATAATAATTCCCTAAAAATCAAGGCATAAGGCATACATATCAGGCAGTTACATTCATTCACTCAAGAGTTACAAGGGGATAATCAGTAATCAACTATGGCCCTGCTATGAAGCCTATTTAAGGGTTAAAACACTTACATAATCACTTCAAAGCGTGAGATAATATTAACTCCTTAGAAGATCAATATACACATTATAAAAATGATCCCAGTGTAATGTAAACATACACAGAGAATTACTAAAACATGAAAAATGAACATGCAACGATCTTATTTTCATTCTCAGGCATTAAACTCCCCTACTCCCAGGAAAAGAATTGGTAGGCAATTCTCCACAAAACGTGAAGAACAGTGAGCTAGTGCTTTCTTTCAAAATTCCTTACAGTTTGCAGAGGTTCAAATTATTTAATTGCCTTATAGAATGCCTCACATAATATATTTGGTTGTTCAATACTTGTTGTAGATTATTGCCAACTACTGAAAAATTTTAAATGTCTTAACACAGTGGTTCATAGTGGGTGATTTTACTCCCCATTGGATATCTGGCAATGTCTAGAGACATTTTTGGTTATCACAAACTGAGGAGTGGGGGAAAGCTACAGACATCTAGTGGGTTGAGGGGCCAAGGGTGCTGCTAAACATCCCATAATGCACAGGGTCAGCCGCCTCAACAAAACAAATGTTAACAGTGCCTAAGTCCAGAAACTTTGGGTTGACTGAATACTGTTTATACTGAATACTGTTTATACACGGAAACTTGTGTTGAGACAGCAGGCACAGTGCTAGGTTCTGTGAATATAAAAAGTAAAACAAGAGCATGGGTTTTGGAGTTCCAGAGACCTGGGTTCAATTCTTGGCTCCATCATTTACTAATAATATGATCTCGGGTAAACTGCCTAACTTTTTTTTTGTTGTTGCAAAACAGAGGTAGTTCCACTTCTCTCAGTTACTGTGAGAATCCTATGAAACAATACATGTAAAGTGGCTAGCACAGTACCTGGCAATTAACAGATGTGTAACTGAAAACAAAGGTGGAAACTATCACAATCTAGAAGAGCCTAAGGAGATGTGGACTCAATGTAATGTAATATCCTACATGGGATCCTTGAATAGAAAAAGGACAGTGGGCAAAAACTAAGGAAATCTGAGTCAAGTATGGATGTTAGTTAATAATGTATCAATATTGGTTCTTTGTGACAAATGTACTATACTAATGTAAGATGTTAATAAAGGAATCTAAGTGAAGGTCCTATGGGAACTCTGTACTAACTTCATGACTTTTTTGTAAATCAAAATCTGTTGTAAAATTTTAAAAGTTTCTTTAAAAAGTAAATAGAAAATGGAGGACTTCTTTCTTACTTCCTTTCTCTGAACTAAGAAGACACAGTCCCCATCCTCTCAAAGAGTTTACCCTTTATCTATTCATAACACATGGATGATGATGTCAAGCTCAGAACAGTATTTAACTAAAGATCACTAGCAGATGCAAAAATAAGATGTGATAAAATACCAGAGGATTTAACTCTTCATCAGAAAATAATAAATATAAAAATCCTAAATGATTTAGCATTTAAGCGAATTTTAAGATTCTTTTTTTCAAAAGAGGCTTTAAAACATTATTCACAGAATTGTCAAGACAAAGGAAAAGGACTACATTTATTGGACACTAACCAAAACCTGAAAATAGGTAAAGGTAGAGAACTGTGTTTTGGATGTTAAAACTAGGCAGCTGTGACTGAGTGGGAAAAACTTCCTATACACTGATACCAATATTGCAACATTCTTCTGCATATTGATTTGGTAATCCAAAGTTTGTTTTCCTTTTATATGGCCTTAGAGTTGTCAGGCTGAAGACTGAGATTGCCTCCGAAAAGAAGGCTGCAGGCAAGTAAAGTATGTAAAATAAATCTCTACTAATAAAAACAATTTTAAGACATGTTAAAAGAACTATCAACAGGCAACAGACACATGAAAAGATGCTCAACATCACTAATCATGAGGAAATGCAAATCAAGACCACAATGAGATGTGGTCACATCACAGCAGTCAGAATGACTATTATCAAAAAGTCAACAGGGGGTGACAGGTTAGCTCAATTGGTTAGAGTGTGGTGCTGCTAACACCAAGGTTGCCGGTTTGATCCCCACATGGGCCACTGTGAGCTATGCCCTCCTTAAAAGAGTCAACTATGCCATTGTAGCATGAAAGTAATGTGTAACCAATGACCATGGCTGTTCCCCAATTAAAAAAAAAAAGGTTAAAAAAAAAGTAAACGAATAACATGTTGATAAGGATGTGGAGAAAAGGGAACCCTTGTGCACTGTTGGTAGGACTGCAGACTGGTGCAGCCTCTATGGAAAACAGTATGGAGATTCCTCAAAAAACCCAAAATAGGTATACTATACAACTCAGCAATTCCACTTCTGGGTATTTATCCAAAGAAATACAGAACACTTATTCGAAAAGACATATGCACCCATATGTTCACTGCAGCATTATTTACAATAGCCAAGATAAGGAAGCAATCTAGTGTCCATGGAAAGCGAATGGAGAAAGATGTGAAATGCGCACTTGCGTGTACACACACATACACACATACATATACATACATACACACACACACACACACCAAGGAATATTATGCAGCAATAAAAAAGAATGAAATCTTGCGATTTGCAACAACATGGATGGATCTAGAGGGTATTATCCTAAGTGAAATAAGTCAGGCAGAGAAAGACAAATACCATATGGTTTCACTTACATGTGGAAACTAAAAACAAAACAAGCAAACAAAAACAGACTCATAGAAACAGAGACCAAAGGGATGGTCACCAGAAGGGAGAGGGTAGGGGATGGGTGAAAAGGGGAAGGGGAATCTAGTCAATAATATTGTGGTAAGTTTACACAGTGACAGATGATTATTAGAATTAGTGGAGTAATCACATTGTAAGGTATAAAAATGTTGAATCACCATACTGTACACCTGAAACTAATATAACCAATATAAAATTATTGTATACAAACTATACTTTAATAAAAAATAAATTAAAAAGAGAACTATCAACAGAAGTAGGCATTGGCCGCTGCTTTAATTCTTACAGATTAATGAGATAGCATACGGGAAGTACTTTGAGCTTCCTGGAAAAGTGATACCAGGTGAATTCAAAGAATTAGGTTACAGTATAAAGGGATAACAGGATAGCATGCCACTTTCTTGTTTGTCTATGTTAAGGCACAAATGTCTTCGAAGTACTTGCTGCAAGTTAACATACAGACCTTATTTCGTCTACATAAATCAGGTCTCTGGTCATTACAGCTGCTTTAAGGTATGGAAGAGTTACTAATAGGTAGAGAACAATAGTACAAAGCTGCTTGCTAGAGCACACAGAAAGGGAATGGCAAGGAACCAAGAGCCGAAGGCTCCTATTACTGTGCTCAGTGGGGTTATGACAAGGCAGCTAAAGGATGGAAGAGGGTTTAACAAATGCTAACAGGTAGAGAGGGTTCCAACTGTAGCAAACACAACAGATGAGAAAAGGTAGTGGGCCCTCTGTGCCCACTGCACCTGGTGTGCAGAGAACAGTGCTGTTTTCCTTGGGTTCAAATCCGCTAACCAGCACTTCAACGCTTCCCTCTGAGAGTCATGTACTTAATTTTGAACACGTATTCCCTTACACCATCTAAGAGCCTGTTCACAAATGCCCAAAGCTCAGAATTGGTCTTTCAGCTGTTAGAGAAGAGAGGGTGCCATGTTTTTAATCATGTAAAATTCGGGAATTTCTTTCACTCAGAAAGTGAGCCTCAAGATTTCTCAGGACTGTTTCCAATATCATTTAGTTTTAAATTCTCAAGTGATGAAGCATTTCCCTTCTCTTCATAATGTAAAATAAGGAGAAATTCTGAATGTAGGCATCATGTGCTTATCTGAATCCTTTAAATTGGATCACAATAAGGTCAATATTATAATCCATTCTTAGAAAAGTACAAGTGAAAAGTAGTTCTCTATCAAAATTTATCATTAGCATTTTGAATATTAAAAGGAACCTTACCAAATTGTAAGTCAAACACAAGACTGTGGGCTACCGAGATGCACCCATTTGGCCTATATCAATTCACTGACCGCTATCACCTGGTGGCATTGTACAAATGAAAGGCTTTTGTCAGATAGGAAACCAATTCCTATAATTCCCCACGCTGCAGCTACAGGAAGGAGAAAAGTTGTAACTTATCTAAAACGGAAAAAAAAACCAGCCAAGTGTTATCTGGATATCTTTGTATTTACTGAGTTGTAGATAGGCTAGAATCGGAATTTTGTAACTGGTCATCCAATTCCGTTCAATTGGACATTAAAAAAAAAACAAAATGCTAAGCAAACAGCCCCCAAAGATATGATTAAGTTGGTGGCAGAATTCACCAACGTCTTTCCTAATGTCATGGAACCATTAAAAAAAGCAAAGGACTTGTATTCGCTGCTTATCCAGAGAATGTATCCCAGGCAAGAACCGCAGCTGGAGCTCCCTCAGGCGCCCGGGACCCCCACCCTCCCCGCACTGGGTCCTCAGCACCTACCAGGAGGCCTGTGCGCCGGGCTGTGGAGAGCAGAGAATTTCAGCGCCGCCGCCTTCTCCCGCACAGTGGCCATGGCCGTAGCTGCCGGGACACCACCTCCTCAGACCGCTGTACCGCGAAGTGTGCGCCCGCGCCGCGGCAGCCTGTTAACTGGCACGGGACGGGGCGGGGCTCACGCCAGGCCCCGCCCCCGCCCAAGGACCGGCCGCCCGGGACGCGGCGCGGCGGCCGCGCGCTGCTTGGCCTCCGGTCACATGCCTGCCGGGGCCCGGATAGCCAGCGGCCGGCCCCCAGCGCTAGGAAAAGGTGCGGTTCTCAAGGACAACGCGGGCCACTCCCAACGCCAGCGGTAGCCAGGTAGAAAGTTATTCAGGGTTTCCGGCCCTGCGAGTCCGACCCTGCGAGTCCGCGCCGGCCCCCAAGGGGCCCACATCCCACCGACGGTCAGCACAGCCCAAGCGCAGGCAGAGGCGAGCGCCCGGCAGGCTCAGACCAGCTGCGTGCGAACACTTCCCACCTTAGATAAACTCTGGGACTCGGCAAGTTGCTTAACTGCTCTGTGACTCAGTGACCTCACCTGTAACGCGGGGCTAGTATTAGTACCCGCTTCACAGGTACTAATTCACGGGTACCAGATTACACGAACTAATTCATGTTCAACATTTTAGTAGTTGGGTCTGGAATATAAGTGCTTAAAATTACGTCATGGTGATAAGTGCATCTAATGGTTTTTCACGCATCTCTCCCTGAAAAGAACAAATCTTTATGTGGCCCAGGAGAGCAATGTCCAGAGGTCACAGTCAGGAAGGCAGCTGGCTGGCCTTGGGGCTGGCTGCCAAAGCAATGGGTGCTGCCTCCAAAGTAACTCTGGGTCAGGTGGGTAGTGTCAGAGTTTGCTGTGGAAAGGGAGTGAAGGTGAGGAAAAAGGGAAGGGAGGGCCGTTAATGGGAAGTTGAAACCAGGGAACCCAGGGTCCAGGGCTGAGGTACCTCTGAAAAGATGAGTGATCTGAGAGATCAATAATTCAATAATTGAATTGCCAGATACTTGCCTTTTTTTTTTCTTTTCTTTCTTTTTTTTTTTTTTTCCAAATTTGGGGATTATAGTATCTTCTTGGAGGAAGGAGATGCCTGTGTGATCAGGTTATAAATTAGAATGATGTTTAAGAAGGAGTTCATTACTTGGCTTATTGAAAGAAGTTCTACATGTGTTTGTTTCAGAGGACACATACTAAGGAGAATACATACATGTGGTTATTTCAAAGAATACACACTAAGAAGCTGTGGGACCCGATTTTAGTTGGTGGGACATGGGCAATTGCTGTTGGTAAGGTTTAGAAAAGATTGCTAATGGCTTAGTCCTTTTTTATGTGCTGTCTCCCCCTGGCGGTTGTAAAACCTGGCCTCACTTCTGTTCAAGGAATTGCCTTTGTAATTTCTCAGGTGCTTACTGCTCACAGAGATAAGATGCAATTTAGGACCAGTTTCAGGCACCTAATGGGTCTGTTACCTTTAGTATGTCCCACGTTGCATAACTGCACGAACACACAAGTCCATCCTCACTACTTGGGAGAAAAGAAAAGCTCATCCTATTTCAGAAAACAAATCTTTTTGTAAAAGGCTGGTGACCTCAGTGACCATTTTGATAATTTATATAACATGGCAAAGAATTTTTAACCAGCTTGTGCTATATTTGTGTATCGCACCTGAAATGCTGTGTTTCCTCTTCTCTACCTAACCACATTCCATGTACCCTGGAAGCCTAACTCAAATCCCACCTTCTTCACTGGATGTATTTTTCCAGATTACCCTGATATATTCCTTCTCTGACCACCGATGACACTTATCAAGTACACTGCTATTATATTTAGCCCCTCACTCCCATGTATAGCTACTACCCAATTATTTCAGCATATACACCTTGATTGTCTAACAAAATTGGAAAATTGTCCAGGGCAGAGAGCATATTTTAACCTTACTGATTTCTTTTGGTATCTGTAGTGTTGGACACATAGTAGATATCTTGATTGTCCTCATCAAAATACAAAGCTTTAAAAAATATATCAGCTTCATACTTTTTAAGGTTTAATGTTTAGGGACATCTATTTAGAAAATAACTTATAAAAAGTGCTTGTCATCTCTAGCAGGTATCACAATCAGACAGTTTATGATGTATCAGAAAATTCCATCCCCTTTCTGATCAATCCAGTGCATTGCTACACAGCCTGCAGCCTTTTTTTTTTCTTTACTATAAAACTACCATCAGCATGCGCCCAGGTGGTAATTTTCGCAGGTTGTTTGTGTTTTTTTAAATCACTTTTATTGATTATTCCTCAAATAAGTGTGGCAAGTCAGTATTATGTTTACCATATGGGAAAACTTCACTTAATCTAAACTTGTCGAAGCTAGTCAAGAGGCAGGAAACAGAACAGAAAGTTTATGACTCACTAATCTGTTCTGGTGCAAACCTAAACAAAAAAATTATGAACAAAAAGCAACCAACACCTCTGGTCTCTCTAGCAATGCAAGCCAATGATGGGTAAAAATCTTAATTTTTAATAGTGTACAGCAAGATTACTGTCTCTGAAAGAAATTTTGAGCAATAGTACATCATATGATGGATATATCTGAGGAACAAAGGAAGCCTTGATATGAGAGCCTTGAGGCTGATCTTTTAAAGTGATTGGATGTTATAGGGGGAAAATGTTTATAATTTCTTTCTTTTTCTCTTTATTTTTTATATTTTTATTTATTTAGGCTATTACAAGGTTGTAAAAGCTTAGAGATTAAATATATACCAGGCTGAAAATATCTTCTTCCTCCCCTCAATAAGATTTTTCTTAGAAGTAATTTGCATTATTTGGTATAGATTAATATCAGTTCAGTCAAATGTAGTTCAGCAGGTTTGAATTCATCTGCTCATAATTTAGAAGAAAAAACCTTAGATTTTCATGTCCTTATAATGGCTTCTGAGATGTGACCAAAGACCCTGGATCTATGAGAACTTTAAATATACTCTAATAATTACATTCCAAAAAAAA